TAGACAAAGGATATTGTTACTACCCTCAAGTTACACAAACATTGAAGGACATAAAAGCCATATTTATCTCAAGTCTGTTGACTGTTGGTGCTATTTCCTTTAAAGAATTAAAAGACAAAAAAATAAATGAAATTTTCTAAAACGGTGCATATACCAATAATTCGGAATGGATCAGTCAGCCACAAAATCTACCTTGAGTTTAGCTTAAGATTACGGTTAGAGTTTGAGACAGGGTGGTACTTACTCTTTTAATTTGAAACATCACTGTGTATTAGTCTTACTCCCTCTTTTTCTGAATACAGCTTATTATTCTAAATCCCAGAAACTAGCTGCACACCCTTCTACTAAGGAGTTTACTGAGGTACTGAAAAAGCGTAATTACATAATGCTCGTCCTAAACTTGAACATAAATACACACATACGCATGTATGCCTGCTAACAAAATATACTGAACATATTTTAGATATGCAATACTGATGCAAACTAATGCACTAAGTCACTTAAAAATTAAGAAATTACCGTAACTAATTCAGCATAAAATTATAAACTATAACAATCTAACATTAGTCACTTAAAAATGTTTACAATCCTTATTCTATATGCTCTGCTAACCTTACACATATAGTTACAGTGTATTTAAAGTAACAGCTTTTTAAAAAAAGAAATCATTTGCAGTGCTCTAAAGAGCACTCTGTGTGCAGCCTGAATGTGCACACACATGCACACGAAGCACACACACGCTCATACACAGACACTCCCAATCTTACACCTGCTCTGAAGCAGTAGGAAGTGAATTCTCAATCTGTCAACATGACCATCTGGTCTATCTGCATATCACGGCTTTCTCTATTACTATATGAAGGAATGGCAATCATGAAGCCAAAATAAAACTAAAATGCACCTGAATGGGACTATCTCTCCCTTTGTTGAAATGGAATAATACGTGGCACATCAGAATAAAACTGGCCGAATGTCAATAATTTAAAGGGAGCATTCACAACAGCATGATTAAATGAACAATATGATGCAAGTAATGTGGTCATCAGTAATACTGGCCGTACAGGTTTACAGAACAGGTACCAGACTTCCGACACACCGCAAACAGCTCTTTCAGTGAGTGACAAGACCGTTACTATTCCTGGTCCAAGCAAAACTAAGCAAAGGGAGCAGCAGGGCCAGCATGGAAGCAACCAGTAGCTGCTGTACTAAAACAGTACTGTGTAAAATTGGTCACCTTCTACCTTAAAACTAACACTACTCATGTTAGGACACTGGGACAAATTCAATTCACTCTGTCACTGGCTAATCAACAATTACAGTAACTACCTGACAAATTCCGGTCATTTATTAGTCTTTCAAAGCAAATTTTAAGGCCACTAAAAATACTTCCAGTCTTAGGAAATTCCTCATCTGCAAAAAGTGAAGATGCTTATTGCAATTTAGCTTTGGGCCTTATGCCGCTCGAAAATTAGCAAAGGCCTTACTCAGTTGATTTAAATATAATTCTATTTATTTAATTTTACTTTTTAAATGTCTCCACACGGCTGCCTCAGAGCTTTCATTCCACCTCACAGCAGGTAATAGCTATCAAAAATAAATTGTGACACTATCATTCTATAGTTTGGATACAGCAACTTACCTCTATCTAAGAGAGGAGTCCTTAAAAAGTCGAACCTCCCAACAAAATTTACCGAACTCAACTGAGAATCTTTCTAGAATCTGATTACATTACCAGAAGTTATACAGACGCCGTTAAAAAAAAAAAAAAAACTCTCCAGAAAGTTCTCGGTTGAGTGCCTACTAATGAACAAAGGTTAACTTTATCTAAAAGGTCAAATGCCTGGTGGCTAAGGTTATGACCTTAACAACTTAAATTGTGACCTTGCCACGTGCCGGGTATATTGTAGATTCTGATTCAGATCATCTGGTAAAGACTGGTCATAAATTAGCTTTACTGTTACACGCCCACAAAGAAAGCCATTTGCCACAATTCCATAATATCTCCAAGTTGTCATACGATACATACGGAAGGACAACTCAAATAAAGACCAAATTAAGGGCATAAAATGGTTTTACTCTTTTATACTTTTAACGAGATGAAATTCTCAGGCTTATGGAATCACTCCAATTTCATTACCCTTGTTACTGTTTATCAGCCACAAAATTCAGACAGTTCTAACACCACTGGATTTAGAGGGGAAAAAAATTGGAAGGTGGTTTATGTATTGTATTTTAGCATCTGAATCAGTCTTAGGAGAAATCACCTCCACTTTTAAAGAATGATTGATTCTGCACTAGCTTCCAGTATTTATACGTGTGTTCTAAGATTTCAACTTCCTACCAATGAAAAAGCTGAGGCTTGAAGCAATAATTATTGTACAAGTTTTTAAAAGGGAAAAAAATCTTATTTTGGGAGCTATGTAGTGGGGGAAATGGCATTTTGGAAGAAAAAAAAAATCCAACATTTTAAGAGAGAGTGGGAAAAAAAATTTACTAAAGGTGAAAAGGCCACAATGGTTTTGGCATGTTTCTTGAAGCACGTTTCAGAGTCTCTGCCTCCTGCCAATACTGGCAAGTTCTCAAAACTTTTAAGGAGGTAAAAACATTGTTTAGTGTTTACAAATCTTCAGTATTATAACAGATGCTTGTCAAATCAGTTGTATGTAAGTTGACCGATCTACCTCGTATTTGTATTGGCAACTAGCTTCCCGTCCACAAATAACAGGTCTCTAAATCTCTTAAATCAAATTTGAACTATTGTCAGACAAAAGGCCCTTAATATTTTCTTCTGCAGCCGTCCTGTTGCGTGCATAGAGAAGCAGCCATTACTGCGCTCCGTGAAAGCCAATGGCCTAACACTTGGCTGCCATTCAGGCCTAACAGGGGATTCTGGGATACGTCAGGAAAACCAAACCGAGAGGTAGTCTGATCCACGTTGCTGTCAATAAATCTTTCATAAGCACTAGGGATGCTAACTCTCCTAAGCAACCTTCTACCTGTCACGTTACCCACATAATCCTTCAGGTATTGAGACAACCAGCCACCGTGTGAGCTCAAGGATTTGCAGCAACGGCACAGGAACAAACGGTCAACAACGAAGGAGAACACATGTAATGGCAATCACTGGAGAGCCTGCGGCTCTTTCAATCTAAGGGAAACGTTTGTATCTCACACTGAGAACGATTCTTCTCACCCCAACAGAGGTCACCGGTGCTTCACCTCGACGTACCTGGTAAGGAAGCGCAAGCCACGGTGTGTGTCACCTGTTGGTACCCTCGTTTCTCTATGCTGGCCAATTAAAGCACTGGCGACAATTTATAAATGATTGACTTTTCTAAATATCAAAAAGATTAACCCCAAGATCTTAAAGGGTGCTCCCTGAAAGCACCTGTAGCACCCATCCTTTTTTTTTTTTCCGCACCTTGCCTTTCCCTGTCAGAATCTCCACTTATGTACGCAAATAAATTTCTTAAAAATTTAACTCTGCTTTTTCAATAGAGAGAACAAAGTAACAATAGGGTGAAAGGGGGATTAAGAAAAGGATACTTGTTCCTGTCTAGAGGTCATTGGAGAGGTGCTGCCTTTTCATTTTCACTACCCAGAACTGGCTAAAGCAACAGGCGCTTCTTACAATTAAGTACACATTCTCCAAAACCCAAATATTTGAAACACTTACAGATCACATCCTCTAAAATACTCATCTATCCCCTGCCAACAGAATGCAAATGATAATGTGACATGCTTGCAAAGTTAATTTCTCCAGTTTCTTATGTAAGGACAGATGGGTAACAAAAGTTCTCTTTCTAAAACATATATTGAGGAAAATAATAGAGAATAGGCTATCAGCTGACTTTAAAAAATAGCTCGCATTTTTAGAATTAAAAACATTCTGCAAAACAGTACAGTGTTGATCTTACAGGTAACACCTCTCTTCTTTGTGGGGAGAAAAACATGAATATATGAACCCCAAAAGAGCCTACTGGTAGGATTCCACAACCTTCTTTCTTTCTTTCATCTGGCTCAAGTAACTGCCATGAAGGTAAAATCCAGCAAGACCGATATGTACATATAAAAAGTCAACAAGTTACACAAGACCTGAGCTTTCACATAACACAATGAACCTTTTGTCTAAAACGAGGCAAAAGAAACAAAGTAAAAATGCATTCTTTTAGTCAGCCCTCAGTAGTTTTATCCTGAATGCTACTCTAGAATGGTATAACATACACAGGTAAAACATGTCTCGAAAACAGCCTTGAAACAATAAAGAATTTTATCACCAATCAAAGCAACTCACTCCATCAATGATCAATATCAATTTCTCAGCGCATTCATGCACTGAGTAACTACCCAGGTTGGTTACTTTTAAGATTAACCTTACCATCAATTGCGTAAAGAGTTGGTTTGTTTTTCCTTCAGCTATCTGAGACAACAATGCTAATTCCTAAGTACAAAGCTACTAAAGTTTGCGTATTAATGTGATTCCTTTTCCTTCATAAATGATCAGCAATTTGACAGTAATCTTACCACATCTTCTTAATACGCATGGGGTCCAAGAGGCCCCAGTAGGTTAAAAACACTCCCAGAAGATAAGCAACTAAAAATACTGCCTCACCACCAAACTCAGTGCTTTTCAACTAGATCACCTGCCATCCAAAATACCCCCTTTATGAGAAAGGTGTTATGAGGCTTCTCTCGCCCATCATCAAAAAACATGGTTTAAACATATCACAGAACTACCAACACCTCTGATAACACTACTCGCCAAGAGAACTGAACTTGGGGAGAATCCTCTCAAAGCTGCGTTTTTCCACCTGAGTGAAGATGTCCCCTCAGACACCGGGGCTTCTGGCTATTCTGACTTCGGTTCACCTTTGCAACCACACCTGTCTCTACGTATGTGGCCTGCCACTTGGAGGGGGCCGGAATGGCCCGGCATATACAGAGGTCAGCAGAAAAGAAACACACAAGAAAGCAGAACAACGTCTCACCATTGCACTTACCTGCTGCATGCACAAAGTATGCCAAATATAAATCGAGTTCCTTAACAGAAACCCCTATGTGATGGGGCTGCACACAGAGCCCTGGATTCGAGCACTGTGGGGACTTTACAAGGCGCTCACCATCAGTACTTTCGAGCGGAATACCTTTAAATAAAATCACCATAACGAGGTCCAACCTCCAGACTTTATCTGCCTGGCGAAGGCAGTCAATTCTTCGCATCTTGCCTTTCTGGTCTGGGTTGGAAAGAACACAACATGGAGGCTTTTTCCCTGTAACTGTAAGAACAAAATCCTCTCGGTACTCGGGGCGGATATCTTTCCGTAACTTGGCCAGAAGTCGAGATGCCCACTTCTGCTTGACCTCTGGTTTTTCACTTAGCAACTCATCCTTCACGGCTCTCTCTTCTTCTTTTGACATACGCTTTTCATGTTTTTTGAAGTATTTTCGTTTTCGGGCCTGCAGGTTGAACCATGTGTAGGCGAAGGCTCGGACGTGGGGCAGAAGTGCTTCAATGAAAGGATGAAACTCATCCTAGAGAGATGAACAAAAACAAAAATATAACTACAATGGAGACAAAAGGAAACAACTTTTCTTCAGATAGTCATTTAAAAAAAAAAAAAACAAAAAACAACAACAAAAAAAACATGCTTATTTCACTTGAAAGTCGACTCAAGCATTACCTTACCAAAATTATACAGAGGATGCCTATAGGGAGTCTGAGGGGGAAAAAAGAAAACTATCAGTATCATTTCTCACAATCTCGGCAAAAAAAAATTGCTAAAAATCTTAAAATGTTTTGATATGTTCACCAAAGTGCACCAGGTTCTATTGCCAGGCTTAGGTCCCAAATCCTTTAGATAGTAAGTGAAGTTTATTGAAATGCTTATAACGATATATAATCTTAACCCTATTTCAAGAAAGGCATATCTAATTTTGCTCCAGGCTTGACCTCACTACTTGTAGTACAGCCAGGGCTCGGCCGCCAGATTGGCAAATCCTAAACATTTAGATGCCAGTCAATGTTTATGGAAGTCTAGGAGCAAAAAATCATCTCCACGATCAATGAAAACAAAGACTTTCCCTCTAAAAATATTGCCTGTAGACTCTAATCTGTTTCTCAGTCATTTTGGTAACATCTTAATTCCTTCTTAAGTATTACAGTTGCATATGATTTTTTTAGTCAAAAACTTAGAAAAATTTGGCGTCTACAAAAGAAGAGATGAATTTGATATTCTTCAGGCTGAAATAAAAGATCTATTTCCAAGACATACTTGCTGATACTGTGGGAATGAAACAAAAAGGAAGAAAAGGGGGGAGAAAAACAAAGAAAAGCGTATATGCCAAATAGTAAATAGAATGCGTCATTGTGACAACAGGGTTGCAACTAAATACAGTTAATTTCGTGAAATGCCTTCAGGAATAATCGTCCCTAAAAAAAGAGAACCGTTATTTAATTTTTGAAAATAATATTTCAGGCTTTTTCTCACAAGGAAATAGAGAAGCTGGTACATTTAATGTTTAGAAGACTCCAGGAAAACCCTCCACGGTTGCCTCTTAAAATGCAAGTAATTTGAAAATAAAATTCAATTTAAGATGTTCACATTTTTCTCACTGTCCTATGAAAATGTTTGATTCTTTTACTTGATGTTTTCTTAGGAAATATAAATACAAAATTAAAGAAAAATTAAACAGTAACCTCCACAAAGCTTTCTGAGTACATCTAACTTTTGATTAACCAACCCACACTGATCTTACATAACTTCTCTCCACCGCACAAACCCCCAAAAGATAAATTATTTACTTTCAAATGAATGAGGATAAGAAAACCAAAGAGATATTTGATGACTTTTTAAAGAAGGGTGTAGAACAGACAAATATTATAAAATGCATTCTTTTTCAGTTTGTAATATCCATCTAAATATATACTTTGGAGGCACAAGTAACTGTAATGTCCAAAATATTATTACTATAAATTATTAATTTTTTAAATGTTCAAATGTAAATGGAGAGGTTAAAATTGGAAAAATATTTTTCCAATTTTCCAAGACTGTTAAAACATTCTAAATTATAATCAATCATGTAAACACTAGACGACTATTTTTAAAGCAAGTACATAATAATGTAATACATAATAAATCATTTCACTAATTGACATTTATCTTTTTCTTCTATGAACCAATTCTAGGCTCTGCATTTCAAGTTTAGCTTTGAAAACTGCTTTTATTCAATAAAAATCCAAAAGAGAAGTCAGCTTTTATAACATATGTGCATTCTTTAAGTGGAGAGGAAACAGAGAAAAATACAAGAATTTTATTATCCTTTATCCATAAACATTTTTTAATTTCTGATGTCTGAGAATCTTTCTCACTGCCATACTTTAAAAGGCAGAAATGGGGTGGGGGAGCATTTTTCAGGTCACGGTTTATAAGGTATACACCAAACCGCAAAGCATTTAAACATTACTAAATTCTGAGCTCATCCTTGAAATGCTCTAAAATACATAAAACTGGGGTTTGGAACAGTCCTTCACATTGGCTGATTTCCTTACATACAGAGGACATGCTAGGGACCAAGGCTCTGTGGTATCATGCAAAGAACTCCTGGAGTCTGCCCTAACTACAAAGTGAGCTTTCACCAAAGGGAGGATTTCATTTTAAAATCTCAGCCCCATTTTATAAAGCAAAGCATAACTACACTCCAAACAATCCACATTTATGTTAAAATGTTATCTCACTCAAAAGGTTTATTAATGACAATAAACATTTTTAAAACAAGCATTCTGATATGGCATTTAAATGTTGGAAGAGACTCCTACTAGTAAAGCTTCTCAGAGAACTGTGAGCTGCGTTCATTCGTGTTCAAAAGGATTTTGCTTACCTGCCAACCAAATGCCTATCTATCTCATCATAAAAACCCTTAAACGAGGCCAAGTATGTCAACTAATCATTAAGAATAATCTAAGTCCCCAATTTTGCATCAAAAGTATTTACGACTTATTACTCCCCAAAGGTTTCAAGAATGTGCCAATAAAAGTGCACAGTATTTTGTATAACTTTACTCCCACGTACCATTAAAGTGCTAGTTATCTTTCTCACCTCACGATCAGAAATATTCTAGATCATCGAAAGTAAAGAATATCGTTAACTTGTAGGTAATGTCGAGGCACAGCATAAATTTATTTTGAAAAAAAGTATGCCCTTATAAATCATGTTGCTGCACATACTGCCATACGCTATGTAATATTCCAAAATAGTCACGAGAAAATAAAGAATATTGTACATAGGTACTCGGTGAGAAAGTTAGAGGCCACCAATGAAAACAAACCTGAAAACCTGTTTCAAAAGCGGTAGGACTTTGAATCAGCATCTTAAACGTTGATCTGTTTGTAAGTAAGCCAAGTTTAAGAACCACTGAGCGCTGATATTTCTGGAACTACTTTTAAAAGGTTCACCTATAAATTTCTACTGGGTTATATCATTCTATGGTCAGGTAAAGGATGGTTACAATATGCTTGTATGGTTTAAAATAAGATGTCTGACATTTTCTTGATAAATTTTTAAAAATTGCACACACATACATGGAGTTCATTCTTTCATTTAGAGTACTTTTATCACTGTGCTGACTGGACTTTCTTTAATGACCAATAAACTACCTAAGTTTGTCTTTCTAAAACTGGCTCTAGAGCTTTGTAGGTGTTCCAGCAAGTTGAATAAAACTGTAAATCAATTTTTTAAAGAAGACCTCAAAATCTATGGCTCTCATTCACTATTTAGTGTACCTTTGCTTCACAAACTGTTACACTAAGTGTTTCCTTCAGCGGTGTTTCCAGAAGAAGGCCTAGTGAATGTATCAATCACACTGCCAAATATGTTTAAAAAACAAAGCAAAACAAAACAAAACTTTCTTAATGTGATAATAGCTCATGAGCCAAGAGAATCCAGCTTTGTCAAATACCTGACTCTGCCCTGGGCCTGCACAGAGACACAGGTATTCTCACATATGCACCAACCCCAAATATAAATGTATCTTTTGAGAGCTCACTTGAGAAGAGGCTCATGGGTCTGCTCAGGTCATTCCCCACTCTTGCAGCACCCTGGTATTGTCTACACATTCTCTGGGTGGCAAACTTTGGCCAGCAAGAACTTGAGGCTTCGTACTCAGCGTTTTCACTGAAGTCATAACTCACTCAAATTCTCTGACACTTTGCATCTTATCCATATGCAATTGTGAACCTTGCCAGAAGTGGTTGGAAAAGTTTCCTTCCTAATTCCACCAGTTCCCAAAATAGGAACTTTGGAAGTTTGCTAGGGAAAAATAAAAAACTTTTACAATAACTACAAGCAACTGCTACCCATTACTAAGGCTAGGCCTAAATCCCAAACAGACCATTTCAACATAAAAGATGCATTTTTAAGAGTCTTCCGAGATCAAATAGCCGGTATGATTACTGTTCGATATTGGAATAAGAAAGGATGTCATATGAAAAATAAATCCAGAATCTAGAAAGGAAAAGAAAAAAAATTATTGGCACTTTTTTAGCCTTTCATCAAGTATTCCGGTTAAACCGTTATCTCCTGCTAAATGAAAACAGTAAGTGGTAGCAGGTTTTTTAAGGGAGTGGTAAATAAACATTTTATATGAAGCATACAACTTCACGTAGGTGATTAATGGTCAGATTGCAATGTACCAAAACAGTACGAAAGCTCACACTTTTTT